ACAGAGAATGCAAAAAGTATCTCTGGATTGAAGATTATTGTTGCAGCAAAATTTGATTTTGTTTTTTCATCTGTATATAAACGGCCGGACAGTGGCAGTGCAGGGTCGGGTGGCCATTTATAAATGGCCTCCCCGCCCCCTGCTTGTGTGCGCTCCCTGGAAGAGCGCAGCACCGCGATCTGGTGCCGTTGTGTCCTCCGAACACAGTGGAACACTGATCGTCGTACGGGACCTCTGTGTGAGGTCCCGATCATGTGATCACTGATTGGCCAATCAGTGATCACATGCAGAGTAGTAAGCAAGATGTCACTTCTGACATCATTGCTTACTACGTGTGAAATCTGTGAATGATCACAGAGGTCACATGGTACAGGGCTATTCCCAACAGCCTTGTACCATGTGACAAGCCGTGACCAATCCCAGCTCACACAGTATTTCTCAATGTCTGCAAGAATGCAGCCAGAAAGGGGAAATGATTGCTTTTACAACCTTTATGGGTGTAAAAGCAATCATTGTAAAAAAAAAAAATCTTCATCACCCCCCACAAGTAGTACAGTGTCACCCTGGTGCCACTGTACTGCTAGGGTGACAGTATGTAAAAAAAACCAAAACAAATAATAATATAAAAAAAAATGTAGAAAAAAATGTTTAAAGATTATAATATTTGGTTATAAACTAATTTGGGTTATTTTTTTTTTACTAAAAAGATAACTGAATAAATGTTGGCCAAGATTTACGATGAAATATTATTTATTTGCAAAATTTTATAAGAAAAACACTTTTTTTCTAAATTTTTGGACTTTTTCATTTACATAGCAAAAAAAATAAAAATCCCAGCGGTGACTAAATACAACCAAAATAAAGCTTTATCTGTCTCCCAAAAATGCTTAAAAAGTCATATGGGTACAGTGTTGCATGACCGCGCAATTGTCATTCAAAGTGTGATAGTGCAGATAGCTGAAAATTGCCCTGGACAGGAAGGGGGTGAAAGTGTCCGGACTGGAAGTGGTTAATGCCCTGTTCACAAACAAAAAAATTCTATAAAAATACTTGTGAGCTACTAAAGTGGTTTTATATAACAATATTCCTACTATAATTATAAAGTAATGGTGCATCAACACTAATTCACATACCATAGGAGGGGCTCTGACGTCACGACGCCAACACATTCATCCCACACCCACTGACCATTTGGAAACTCGGGCACTGCCCAAGGGCCCTGGGTCAGTAGGGGACCCCATGAGATGCCCCTTGTACCTTTTTCATAGGCTTTTTTGAGTTTGGGCAAGGACACAGGGGCCCCATGATCCCCTATTGCCCGGGGGCCCCATGAGTTGTCAGTCCGCCCCTGCCCACACCCATCCATCTCACACCCACAGCACAGGAGGAAACTGGAAAATCCAGCAGTTGCAGGAGAATATTGCCACTATCCACACACAGGATGTAGCATGGTTATTTATATTTAATATAATTAAGGACTAGATTTATCCACATAAAGGTAGGATTATATAGTGAGGTGAGTGTGTACTCCAATGTTTTTCAGCACAGCAAGATCACCAATAAGGACTTTTCATCTATCATTTTTGATTGCTTTCATTGCACTTTATTTGTTCCAATCAAGTTTATGGAATTTTATTTTTATTGGAGGTTTTTATTGTATATAAATATTAAGGTTTGATACCACTATATGTCACTCATTTTAGTGATTTACTGATTGTTTTAAATCTAGCACTTAGGTGTTCACAATTTTAATTGATTATATTGACTCACGTATTGATTTAGGAGGATATAATAGTTATTATTATTATTATACAGTATTTATAAAGCGCCAATAGTTCACTCAGCGCTGTACATTACAAAGGGGGACAGAACATGTGACAGAACAATACCAATACAATGCAAAACATGAGGGGATCGAGGGCCCTGCTCTTTGGAGCTTACAATCTAGGAGGGAGGGGATGGTGGCACAGGAGGAAGTGGCTGTGGGGGATGGAGTGGTAGGAAGAGTGGAGGAGGTCGGCAAGTTAGCAGGGGGTGGGGTAGGCTTCCCTGAAGAAATGGGTTTTCAGGGTGCGCCTAAAGGAGAGGAGAGTAGGTGATAATCTGATGGGTTGGGGCAGGGAGTTCCAGAGGATGGGTGACACCCTGGAGAAGTCCTGGAGGCGGGCATGGGAGGAGGAGACCAGGGAACTAGAGAGAAGGAGGTCTTGTGAGGAGCGGAGTGTGCGTGTTGGGTGGTACTTGGATATTAGGTCAGTGATGTAGTTCGGGGCAGTATGGTGGACGCTTTGTACGTCAGCGTTAGGATTTTGAATTTGATCCGTTGCGCAATTGAAAGCCAGTGGAGGGATTGGCAGATAATAGTTGATCTTATTGATATTATAATCTAAATTAGCTTTAAGGTGGAGCGGGACACATATGTATTATTAATTAACGCCCCGTTCATTTTTATCTTGTTATTTTGGCAGAAGTTGTGCTGTAAGTGAATGAGGTTCTGTTATTGAAATCTTTCTCTGCCATCGCTGAGCCTTATTACAGCTCTACAGTTGTCTCAGATCAGGGAACGTATCATAGTGTTACCTGCATCCATGGCGTCTGTAACTTCTCAGCCCTGCAAGCGGCGCTATCATCCCCGAGGATAGCAAAGTCTGCATAATGCATGCTAGGATTCTAAGGTGCCCTCCTGGGAAGGTGGAGGCACGCAGAGGTGTAAGACTTTGACAAAGTACACGGTACGCCAGGCACTGCGCAGTCCTGGAAGTCAGGTAAGATTTGATGGGTCTGTATGATAATAAAAAAAATGCATCTAGATAAATCATGGATTACTCCTAAAATATTCATTTTTGATGCAGATGCTGGAGATTAAAAATTAAAAAATATATATCCTCCATTTTTACAATCAAAAACTTAGCTCATTCCCTGTCAGCTCTCAAAACCCAAGTGAGCATTTTTTATTTTGTTTTTTTTTTACATATTTCACTCTGTTTACTTTGGAGTAACTTTTTCTTACTTTATTCAACCACTTCTAAGAGAATGAGTGCAGCGGAGGTAAGCTGGGCTCTGTATTGATTATGAAAAATGTATACAGTGGGCAAATTCTGCAACTCATTATACAGTACAAAGTCAAATTGCATCAGGCTCTGCCGACGATGGAGCTCATGACTTAAAGGCTAACTTTAAGCAAGCATACGTAATCACACCTAAGCATACATGTGGAACTATCCTAGAAAAAAGGGACTTTATACCCACATGGAAGAAAAATATTTTTGAAATATATTTTTAAATATTTTTCCCAAATATATTGACATATATTTGAAATACTACAATTTTGGCCATATTCAATATATGTATTTATATATATATATATATATATATATATATATATATACACATATATATACTGCATGTTGAAATGCATGTTTTATATATTACAAAATATATGAAATATATTTTTAAAATATTCTTCCCAAATATATTGACATATATTTAAAATACTACAATTTTGGCCATATTCAATATATTTCAAAATATATTTAAAAAAAATATATATATATATATATATATATATACCTAATATATATATATATATATATATGAAATAAATAAATAAATAAATATTTTTATATATATAAAAAACACATTTCAACACATGCAGTATATATATATATATATATATATATATATATATATATATATATATGTACTGCATGTTGAAATGTGTTTTTATATATTACAAAATATATATTATTAAATATATTTTTTAAATATTCTTCCCAAGTATGTTGACATATATTTTAAATACTACAATTTTGGCCGTATTCAATATATTTAAAAAAAAAAAATATATATATATATATATATATATATATATATATATTCTGCATGTTGAAATGCATTTTTTATATATTACATAATATCTCCGATTTTCCACAAAACTGCATAACATGATGTAGTAGGAATAATACTGACTTGTAAGGTCGATCTATACTTCGGACCATGCACATTTGTTTTCTATTTGATTATTTCTAGACGTTGTGTCCACATAAAATAAAAATTTTCTAGCTTGCACCCTCGGTTTTTGCTACCCAAAAAGTCAGAATTGGCTGTTGAGAGCGTTATACTAATAATCAGATAATTGGCCAATTGTTTCCCGTACGGAAATTTTTAAACGTGTGTATGGGCCATAGGGAATGTGGTAAAGCTCTGCTGACACCCACATGGAAGAAAAATATATTTGAAATATATTTTAAAAATATTCTTCCCAAATATATTGACATATATTTGAAATACTACAATTCTGTCCATATTCAAAAAAATAAATAAATAATATATACCGTATTTTTCGCTCCATAAGACACACCCGACCATAAGACGCACCTAGGTTTTAGAGGAGAAAAACAAGAAAAAAAATATTCTGAACCAATGGACTGCAGACACAGTACAGGAGATGACCAGAGACTGCGGACACAGTACAGGAGATGACCAGAGACTGCGGACACAGTACAGGAGATGACCAGAGATTGCGGACATAGTACAGGAGATGACCAGAGACTGCGGACACAGTACAGGAGATGACCAGAGACTGCGGACACAGTACAGGGGATGACCAGAGACTGCAGACATAGTACAGGAGATGACCAGAGACTGCGGACACAGTACAGGAGATGACCAGAGACTGCGGACACAGTACAGGAGATGACCAGAGACTGCGGACACAGTACAGGAGATGGCCAGAGACTGCGGACACAGTACAGGAGATGGCCAGAGACTGCAGACACAGTACAGGAGATGGCCAGAGACTGCGGACACAGTACAGCAGATGGCCAGAGACTGCGGACACAGTACAGGAGATGGCCAGAGACTGCGGACACAGTACAGGAGATGACCAGAGACTGCGGACACAGTACAGGAGATGGCCAGAGACTGCGGACACAGTACAGGAGATGACCAGAGACTGCGGACACAGTAAAGGAGATGACCAGAGACTGCGGACACAGTACAGGAGATGACCAGAGACTGCGGACACAGTACAGGAGATGACCAGAGACTGCGGACATAGTACAGGAGATGACCAGAGACTGCAGACACAGTACAGGAGATGACCAGAGACTGCGGACACAGTACAGGAGATGGCCAGAGACTGCAGACACAGTACAGGAGATGACCAGAGACTGCGGACACAGTACAGGAGATGGCCAGAGACTGCGGACACAGTACAGGAGATGGCCAGAGACTGCAGACACAGTACAGGAGATGACCAGAGACTGCGGACATAGGACAGGAGATGACCAGAGACTGCGGACACAGTACAGGAGATGACCAGAGACTGCGGACATAGTACAGGAGATGACCAGAGACTGCGGACATAGTACAGGAGATGACCAGAGACTGCGGACACAGTACAGGAGATGGCCAGAGACTGCAGACACAGTACAGGAGATGACCAGAGACTGCGGACATAGTACAGGAGATGACCAGAGACTGCGGGACAGTACAGGAGATGACAAGAGACTGCGGACAGTACAGGAGATGACAAGAGACTGCGGACACAGTACAGGAGATGATCAGAGACTGCGGACATAGTACAGGAGATGACCAGAGACTGCGGACACAGTACAGGGGATGACCAGAGACTGCGGACACAGTACAGGAGATGACCAGAGACTGCGGACATAGTACAGGAGATGACCAGAGACTGCGGACACAGTACAGGAGATGACCAGAGACTGCGGACACAGTACAGGGGATGACCAGAGACTGCGGACACAGTACAGGAGATGACCAGAGACTGCGGACAGTACAGGAGATGACAAGAGACTGGGGACACAGTACAGGAGATGACAAGAGACTGGGGACACAGTACAGAAGACCAGAGACTGCAGACAGTACAGGGGAAGACCAGAGACTGCAGACAGTAAAGGAGATGACCAGAGACTGCGGACCTTTGGGGAGGGAGGGGGAGCGGGTACCTGAATTTGACAGCTACCCACTCCGACTTCTGCGGAGTTGTCCTTCCTTCTTCTTCCTGCAGCGGCTTCTGTGACAGCCGGGTGCCCACTGCGCATGCGCGAGAAGCGTTGCGTTTTGTGAATGGCCCGGAGCCTTCTGGGACCTGTCTTGTGTCCCAGAAGACACTGGACCATTCACAATACGCAGCGCTTCTCGCACATGCGCAGTGGGCACCCGGCTGTCACAGAAGCCGGTGCGGGAAGACTGTACAGCGCTGGAGAGAGGAACAGGTAAGGTCCTGCAGGAGAGAAGAGCTGAGCGGCTGGCCCGGTATTCTGACACGGTGGCGGCAGAAATACCGGACCGGCCGCTTTACATTCGCTCCATAAGATGCACTGACATTTTCCCCCCTTTTTTGGGGGGAAAAAAGTGCATCTTATGGAGCGAAAAATACGGTATATATATATATATATACTGCATGTTGAAATGCGTTTTTTATATATTACAAAATATATGAACAATATTTGTAAAAAAATATTTCTTTAAATATATTGTTCAAATTTTTTTTAACATATAAAAAAGTCATTTTAACATATTTTTAGCTATATTTGTAAATGCATTCCAAAAATGTAGATTACATGTATTTTGAATGACACACAGTATATTTGAAAATGTATTTTTAAAAATATTTACCATAATATGCAAAAACATATTTAAAAATACATTTCAACATTATACATTATTACATAGGTATACCTGAAAAAGGGGCCAGCATGAAGTGATCTAGCTGGATTTAATCTTCTGACTACAGTTCCACGTATATATATATATTTTTTATTATTATTATTATTATTTATTTTTATTTATTTTTTAATATATTGAATATGGCCAAAATGGTAGTATTTTAAATATATGTCAATATATTTGGGAAGAATATTTTTAAACTACATTTGAAATTTATTTTTCTTCCATGTGGATTGTACGCCCCTTGAGGGTTAGAGACTGATGTGAATATATAATATATATGTAAAGCGCTGCGTAAATTGACAGCACTATATAAGTACCTGTAATAATAAATAGAGCAGCTTTCTACATCATAGAGGAACACCCACTGCTATAAAGGATGGTATTTGTGACTGCTCTAAAAGGGGTCATGGGCCATATTTATCTGAGACAGATTCACTGCAGCTTAACGTGGAACTGTAGTCAGAAGATTAAATCCAGCTAGATCACTTCATGTTGGCCCCTTTTTCAGGTATACCTACGTAAAACAATTACATTTTATACTATTTAAAATCAGTAATACCCTGTCTCACCCTGTTCTGCACATGCTCAATTGCTCTCTATATTTTTGTCACTGAGGCAAATTTATAGAGGCCAATCTGCAGACAGCATAAAGATTTACTGCTGCTCAGGGGTTCTGGGCTTCAACAAAATGGCAGCCTTCAGCAAGAAGAAAGAGGAGCAATGCTGGAGGCAATTTACAGCACACACTGATTTTTGTAGTATGATTATTAATGTGGAATGGATGTTCCTTGCTAAAGAACATTATTTTTCATCAAGTTGTGATGGGTAAAGTTCCACCTTAACCACTTGCCGTCCGGTCGCTGTATATAAACGGCCGGATGGTGGCAGTGCAAGGGCGGGTTGCCATTCATAAACGGCGCCCGCCATTTTGGATTGTGTGCGCTCCCTGGGAGTGCGTGACACCATGATCCGGTGCCCGCTGTGTCTGGAGGAACACCGGTCACTGTACGGGACCTCTTTGTGAGGTCCCGATCATGTGAACACTGATTGGCCAATCAGTGATCACATGAATAGGTGTAAGCAGGATGTCACTTCTGACATCATTGCTTACTACGTGTGAAATCTGTGAATGATCACAGAGGTCACATGGTACAGGGCTATTCACAACAGCCTTGTACCATGTGACAAGCTGTGACCAATCACAGCTCACACAGTAGTTCTCAATGGCTGCAAGAATGCAGCCACAGAGAAGGAGAAATGATTGCTTTTACATCCTTTATGGGTGTAAAAGCAATCAGTGTAAAAAAAAAAAATCTTCATCACCCCTCACAAGTAGTACAGTGTCAGTATGGTGACACTGTACTGCTAGGGTGACAGTATGTAAAAAAAAACCCCACATAAATATTAATATAAAAAAATAAAATAAATATGTAAAAAAAATTTTTGAAAAATTATAATTTTTGGTTATAAACTAATTTAGGTTATTTTTTTTTTACTAAAAAGATAACTTAATAAATGTTGGCCAAGATTTATGAAGAAAGATTATTTATTTGCAAAACTTTATAAGAAAAACACTTTTTTCAACATTTTTGGAGTTTTCATTTATATAGCAAAAAAAAAAAAAAATCCCAGTGGTGAATAAATACCACCAAAATAAAGTTTTATCTGTCTCAAAAAATGCTAAAAAATTCATATGTGTACAGTGTTGCATGACTGCGCAATTGTCATTCAAAGTGCGAAAGCACTGAAAGCTGAAAATTGGCCTGGACAGGAAGTGGGGGGAAAGTGTCCGGACTGGAAAGGGGGGAAGTGTCTGGACTGGAAGTGGTTAATAAAGATTGTGACATCTCGTTACAGAATCAGATATGTGTGGCTGCTCCTATGAGGCCCAAATACTAAGTGGAGCTATATATAAAGGAGCTACTATTAGTGCTGCTATTAGGATAACTGTCTTATTTGTGGGGGGGTTGGGTTGGTATCATGCACCCCTAAATCCTTTCTAGAATTCAGTTAATCAATAAAAGGTAAACAAAAATAAATAAATAAACTAAAGTGACTGGTGCCCAATTTATTTTTTCACATCTAGGACCAGACCATGGGACTGAGATGTTGGCCCAACGAAGGGGTACTACATGACTGATCTGCCATAATGTTTTTGGATCAGCATGACAACTTTCATCCTTAATTCAAATAGCTTTCCTGTGAACTCAGAGCCTCACTGTTGAACCTAGGAGCTCTCTGCTGAAACTTGACAGGTCTATCCCAATGATCTCCCTATTGCCAGTTATTTGTTGCCTGCAGATTATGATGATTATCTGCCATAAAAATGTGGAACTAAAATATCTGAGCACCACAGACTGAAAATGCCGTCTCTTCTCTGCATCTGTTCAAAGTTCTGCATTTATAAACGTAGCACCCTTCTAGATAGCCAGGGGGAGCTAGTTACATTTTTTTTTAGATAGAAAGGTTGAGTAGCAGCCTGAGCATGAGTCAGCAGGGTTAAATTTAAGTCAGGGCTAATCAGTTCCCTGATACCTCCCCCTGATCTAGAGACTTGGAGAAGTCTCTAGAGCTCAGTGGGTGGGGGTGAGGAGGGGCTGACCAGCACACGTAAGGGTTGGAGTTGGTTTGAGCTGTCTCTTTGCTGTATTGGGTTGTCTCTTTGCTGGATTGGACCATCTCTTTGCTATATGGAGCTGTCTCTTTGCTGAATGGGGCTGTCTCTTTGCTTTATGGGGCTGTCTCTTTGCTATATGGACTTGTCTCTGCTGGATTGAGCTGTCTCTTTGCTGTATTGGGTTGTCTCTTTGCTGGATTGAACCATCTCTTTGCTATATGGAGCTGTCTCTTTGCTGAATGGGGCTGTCTCTTTGCTTTTTGGGGCTGTCTCTTTGCTATATGGACTTGTCTCTGCTGGATTGAGCTGTCTCTTTGCTGTATTGGGTTGTCTCTTTGCTGGATTGGACCATCTCTTTGCTATATGAAGCTGTCTCTTTGCTGAATGGGGCTGTCTCTTTGCTTTATGGGGCTGTCTCTTTGCTATATGGACCTGTCTCTGCTGAAATGAGCTGTCTCTTTGCTGGATTGGCAGTCTCTTTGCTGAATGGGACTCTCTTTTTGATATATGGAGCTGTCTCTTTGCTGGATTAGGCCGTCTCTGCTATATGGAGCAGTCTCTTTGCTGAATGGGACTGTCTCTTTGCTTTATGGGGCTGACTATTTGCTAGATGGACCTGTCTCTGCTGAATTGGGCTGTCTCTTTGCTACATGGAGATGTCTCTTTGCTACATGGAGATATCACTTTGCTGGATGGGGTTGTCTCTTTGCTATATGAAGATGTCTCTTTGCTGGATTGGCCTGTCTCTTTGCTATATGGAGCTGTCACTTTGTTGAATGGGGCTATCTCTTTGCTATATGGAGCTGTCTCTGCTGGATTGGGCCAACTCTTTGCTATATGAGGCTTTCTCTTTGCTGGATTGAGCTGTCTCTTTGCTACATGGAGATGTCTCTGCTGGATTGGGCTGTCTCTTTGCTGCATTGGGATATCTCTTTGCTTGATGATGCTGTCTCTTTGCTAAATGGAGATGTCTCTTTGCTGGATGAGGATGTCTCTTTGCTGGTTTGGGATGTCTCTTTGCTATATGGGGATGTCTCTAGTGGATGGGGAGTTCTCTTTGCTGGATTGGTATTTCTCTTTGCTGAATTGGGCTGTCTTTTTGCCGAATATACTGTATGGGGATGTCTCTTTTCTGGATTGGGGCATTTCTTTGAATATATGCGGATGTCTCTTTGCTGCTCTTTGGTCAAAATATACTGTAAATATGATCCAGATCTGCAGCTCCCTGCTTTGCTGATAGGATGACATCATCATCAGGGAGGGAGACCCTGGAGAGGACACACAGGCTGAATCCTGCCTGTGCCATGCCGAAGGTAGCACTGTGCAGGGGAAGGCAGAGAGTAAAAGGGAGCACTCTGATTAGAATGAAAAGGGGGGCATAACTGCAAGGGGCGCTGTGA